ATTCTCCTCCTCTTCCTCAGCTCTTTTTTTGGGGGGGGGAGGGAAGGAGGAGGAGGAGGAGGAGGCGGAGGAGGAGGAGGAGGAGGAGGAGGAGGAGGAGGAAAAGGAGGAGGAGGAGGAGGAGGAGGAGGAGGAGGAGGGGGGGAGGGAAATGGAGGTGGAGGCACTCCCGACGTCTCATGGTGCCGAGGGTCCCTGGTGCTGCGAGCTTCCTCTGGCGGTTGGGCCTTTGGGCGGAAGGCCCCATAGAAAAAACACAAAACCATGGCCGAGGCCAGACTTCTTTGGGGGGATCTTTCTTCCAGGGTCGGATCCTCCGCGTGGAGGAGGAGATGCTGGATGAAAGAACAGGGGAGATTCCGCGGACGATCGCAGGCTCCTCTGCGGCCCCCAGGAGGCATCCGAGGAGCCCCGCCCCATGGGCCCCAGGAGGCAAACATCATTCCATTTACTTGCGGAATGCACCAGTTCGCCGGTCCAGTTTGGACAGCCTCTGAGACGGTCGAAGAGGCGCCCAAGGAGGCCCCCAATCCGCTTATGAGGCTCCAAGCGCGGCCCAAGATAACCCCAGCACGGTCCAATGGATCCCCAAGAGGGCTTCAAGAGGGTACCATAACGGGTCGTGGAGCGCTACCTTAAGGGATGCGGCTCCCAACATGCCCCAAACACCTTCCAGGACGCTTCCAAGGAGGCTCCCGAGAGACCCCGAAACGCCACCTGGATTCGTCAAGAGACCCCCAAGAGGCCCTTTCAATGCTTCCAGGAGGGTCCCATTAGGCCCCACGCTGGCCCCCAGGAGCGTATGCGACGTCTCGCGTCTACATCCTGCACGCCGTCCCCAGAGAGGCTTCACGAGGCCACATGTTCACGATCCATCTCAGGATTTCAAGAGGCACCTGAGAAACACGCCGCGAGACCCCGAGAGGCACCCACGACGCCGCCCCGACCTCACGATCCAGGTCAGGGGTGTGCCGACATGGGCGGGCCGGTGCGAACCTTGGCTCTCGGATTGTCGGTGGAACTCCCTGTGGGGTACGATCCGTGTGAGGAGACACAACATACACAGGGGGACTTGACGCTCTGCGACTCCTCTCACGAGGGCCGCACATGAAACTACATCCCTCTGGGCCCCGATCGGTGTGAAGGGTGAGCCGAGATGGGGGGGAGGGACGCCATACGAACTTTGTCGATCCGTGTGAGGGCCGTGCCGAAAGTGATGGGGGGACGTTTTGTGAACCGTGCGTTCCTCTGGGGCCGTGGTTCTCGGCTGAATCCGCGTGTTTCGTACCGTTCTATTTCAAGTTAAGCCATTTGTGGGTCATTGCTTCAGTGGAATTGTGATCGAATCGCACCACCCCGTGAATCTTGGTGGTGATGGGGCTGACGAAGGATGAGGAAGAAGGAAAAGCAGGTTCTTCAGAACCCTTCAGGTATTTCCAAGCCCCCCCGCCCGATTCGCATCGGAAATAGGGAGAACGCAGGGTAAGGAGCAGACAGGGGCGCCAGGGCCCGGTGAGGGACCCCAGACGCCACGGATCTATACATATATCTACATATGTATTCACTCGTATACATGTATTCATTGTATATACTATATGGGTAGCAGATCTACTGGGATACAGTGGGCCGGGGGGGCCGGGCCGGGACACCCTCCTGGATGTTCCCCCCCGCTCAAACAGCTCCAGAAGCGACCCAAAAGCATATCGGCCTGACAGGGCCGAAGACGCCCGAGTGAGGCGGCTCGAGAGTCCCCGAAAACGTCTTAAGAATGCTCCCAAGATGTGCCCCGAGAGGGCCCCAAAGGCCACAATTGTTTCGGTCCATGAGCAAAATTTGACGACGGACTCATCCCTATGCAATCATGTGTGTGGCACGATCCGCGTGAAGGGTGTGCCGAATGATTCGGACGCCTCCTCGCGAACATGCTCACTGAGGCCGCAGGTGGACCTCCTCCGGGCACGGCACGTGCGAGGCATGTTCGAAATGTGCGGGGGGACGCCATGCGAAACTGCCCTTTGGTACCATAGGTGGAGCTCCATCTGTGGCATGATTCGCGTGACAGGTGTGCCCACATGTGCGCGGGGGCGCTGTACGACACTTGTCTCTGGGCGTTTATCCACCGCCAGACTGAAGCCATACCCACCGCTTCGGAGTCGTGCCGTGGGACCTTGAGGAGTGGTGGATCTGGATATCTGCCCGTCTGCATGGGCGGCCAGATGTCCATATCCATCGCTCCTCGGTTCCATGGGGTACGACCCCGCGGCAGTGGATAAGGACATATTCTGGCGGCGCATTTTAGGTGGTGTTGCTTGTGGGCACGATCCGCGTGATGGTGTGTGCCACAATGGCCAGGGAGGGGGCGCAGTGCGAACCCTGCCTCTAGGGCAGTAGGGCCACGATGCGTCTGAGAGGTGTGCCGGGGGGCTGAATGTGAACGGTGTCTCTGGGGCCATCCGTGGAACTCTTTGCGGGCCACGGTCCCTGTGAGAGGTGTGCCGAA